GGGATTTGGGGAAAAAATTGCAGGAGTTCACGTGGAGGCAGGTGGCGTTGCTGAGCTTCCAGTCGCTGGGGGTGGTGTACGGAGACCTGGGGACGTCGCCGCTGTACGTGTTCTCGTCGATCTCGCTGGACGACCCCGGCGAGGCGGACTTCGTCGGAATCCTCAGCATCATCCTCTGGACCTTCACCATGATCTGCCTCGTCAAGTACGTCTTCATCGTCCTCAAAGCTGACGACCATGGAGAAGGTATATATCTGCACTATACACTCCGTACTCGTAAAGGAAGTTGTTTTGGACTGTGACACGGTCTCCAAAACACAACTTTGACTTCTTTTTTCTATAAAAATATTTATTGAAAAGTGATATATGTATACCTTTATGAAAGTATTTTTCAAGACAAATCTACTCATATAATTTTTACATTTTCAAACTCAACGACTTGAGTGTTATTCATGATTTATATTACCAAGGTTTGACTTAAACATTGCCCTAAACGATTTTCTTTATGAGTATGGTGGGAGTATATCACTATATATAGATATATAATTCGGATCTATTTGCCAATCACTTCTTTTTTACTACTAGATCAACGCTCAACAATTCGCGTGTCAATCCTTTTATTGTCATGGAATAACCTTTTGTTGGAAGAAAACTGTATTTTGGTGTACCTTGATAAGTATAGAAGTGCATCCGTCCCAAAATACAGAAATCTAGGATTGAATGAGACATATCCCAGAACTATCAATCTAAACATACATATGTCTATATTAATAATCATAAGATATGTCTCATCTGGTTCTAGATTTTTATATTTTGGGACGAAAAGAGTAGTAGATGAAAAACAAGAAAATCACAAGTTACACTAAATTTTAGATTGTGCAGGTTTAGTGTGTTACACGTTTAATATACTAATAGAGCCGACCGACAAATAGCAAAATTGAAGTAAATCATTTAGTATTAATTTTCCTCAATAATTTTTACAAAAACATCATGCCATTTTAAACATACGTGCGGTGAAACTTTCGAAACATATAATATCAATATCTCTCTTTTTTTTCAAAATTATGACTGGATACATGAAAATCATACAGATAGATTGATCCATCTATAATAATCTCCCAATTTTATAAGGCTTAGATTGATCATCTATAATCTCCTAATTTTATAGGGCTTCTCGAGTGCATGTTCTTTCATTCAATTCTCCTAATTTTGTGATATATTTGTGCTTAATTATCCTGTGAAAGGTGGCACTTTTGCGCTGTACTCGCTTCTGCGTCAGCATGTGAATTTCAAGGGAAACATGCCAGTGCCAGTCACACACTTGGCATCTGACATCAACCTCAAGTTCCACAGTAAGAAGAGGATTCTGACGTCCAAGCTCCTCAAGTTCTTGGAACAAAGCACAAAATGGCAGGCAGTCATTACCTACATCGTGCTTGCTGGGACTTGCATGGTGCTAGGAGATGGTGCCCTCACTCCAGCCATCTCAGGTGTGCATATCATATCCAGCCTTTTCTGATTAGGCACTTATAAAGAGTGTAGGATAATAGTGTATATTTTTGTGAAGTTGTTAGCATCTCAACAGACGAAATGAAATGGTCCTGTTCACTCTGATGTCTACCTTACCAAATTTTAGTAATGCCAAAATTTTACATGTTGCGGTTGTGATGTGTAAGTAGTTTTTAGTTTGCAATCTTTGTCAAGATTTTGAGAGAGATTCTAGAACTACCAAACTTTTAGTGGAGTTAATTTTTAACAGTGCTTAGTTTGTTACTTTGCCAAATTTTGGTAAAGCCAAAATTTGATAGGGTTAATTTTGACAACAAAGGGAACAGCCTCGAGGTGTTGTAGGGAGCAGTTTTTGTGCCATGCTAGCATGTAGTTTGCAGATCAATTTTCATTGAATTTGAATGCCCTGATGCATGTTTCTTTCTTAAAAAATGTATTCAGTTCTGTCAGCTGTTCAAGGAATCCAATCAAGATCTTCAAGCATAACACAAGGTAACAACTAGTTGTTTCTTCACCTTTGTATTGCCAACCATTATAATTTAGATAGTGGCATTCTTTCGCATGGCTAGAGAATAAAAAATAAACTGACATTCCTTCTCATTGTTTCAGCTCATGTTGTGTTGCTATCTGTGATTATCTTGTTCATACTATTCTTCTTCCAAAAACATGGCACAAGCAAAGTCAGCTTCACTTTTTCTCCCATTATGATCTTGTGGTTTACATTCGTTGCATTCATTGGATTGTACAATATCATCAAGCACTATCCACCAATTCTGAAAGCTGTGTCGCCCCATTACATAATCATATACTTCATAAGGAACAAAAGAGCGGCCTGGGAGACACTTGGAGCAATTGTTCTATGCATAACAGGTTAGTAATATATCGAGAGAAAAAAAAAACATCTACTAGTTTTGCTTCTGGCCAATTAATCTACTAATGACTAAACAGCTGTACTCATAATCAGGTGCTGAAGCTATGTTTGCTGACTTGGGTCATTTCAACAAATCATCAATCCAGGTACATGCATGGTCATTAAATTTTAAATATAATAACATAAGTACTTACCGTGATCTTGAACTTTACCCTGTATCCTGCAGATGGCATTTTCAGTCATAGTTTATCCATCAATGATCCTTGCGTATGCCGGGCAGGCAGCATTTTTGGTCAAGAACCCTTCAAAGCTCAGCACGACGTTCTACAGTAGTACTCCAGAGCCACTATTTTGGCCCATGTTTATCATAGCAACTTTGGCTGCTATTGTTGCGAGCCAAGCATTGATATCAGCCAGCTTCTCCATCATTCGACAATCAATTGCTTTGGGTTGTTTTCCAAGAGTTACCATGAAGCATACCTCAGGCAAACATGAAGGCCAAGTATACTCTCCAGAGATCAATTACTTTTTGATGGTTGCGTGCATCTTAATTACTGTTGGGTTTAAGGGTGGACCAGAGATAGGGCAAGCCTTTGGTAAGCAATCTAATCATATATACTCTTGCCATTTCTAATTGTTAATTTCTCTTTTACTTTTTGTATGAAAATGTTGTAGTTGCAGAGACTTCAAACTCATGAAAAAGGGCTAAATTGCACCCAACACATAACATTATAAATGTTTTTAACATACATATGTGCTCGTGTGTGGTTGGTTGTCAAAACACAGATGGGTATTGCATAAAATTAAAAAAAAAAGTATTCTATAGAAAAGCCATGTCTAACCAGTTGGAATTATCAAGTTACTAGAAACACCACTGCTGGTACCATAGAAACATCAAGGAGAGCACATCTCTATTTGGACAGATGTAAATGACAATACTATGTGCTAAAAATTAACACACATTTGTTGTCACCAGACTGAATAATTTCTTATGGTCTGCAGGCGTGGCAGTGATATTTGTTATGCTTTTTACAACAAACCTGATGACAGTGGTCATGCTTATAATATGGGAAAGTAACATTGCACTTGCCAGTCTATTTTTTGTTTTTTTCTTTTCCATCGAAGGCATTTACATGACCTCGTTAATGAACAAGATTCTACAAGGTGGCTGGGTTCCATTTGCCATTACTGCATTTTTCCTGATAATTACACTATCTTGGACTTATGGAAGAAGTAAGAAGGGTGAATATGAACTTGCCAATGTGATGGAAAGGGAGGAATTTATTAAGACAGTAACAACGAGAAGCCGAGTACCTGGAGTATGCATCTTCTGCACGGATATGATGAATGGCATCCCGCCGATTGTGCGCCATTATGTTCAGCATGTGGCTTCCCTCCGTGAACTGATGGTGTTTGTCACTATCAGGGTTCTTCCGGTGAGAACTGTCCTTCCTGAAGAGCGCTTCATCATAGACAAGCTAGAGCCAGTGGGTGTCTACAGGTGCATAGTCCAATATGGCTATATGGACAACCACAATATGGAGGGTGACGATTACGTTGCATCAGTTATTGCATCCCTCAAGGAAATAGCTGAGAATGATGATGAGATTCTGGTGTTGGATTCAGCTTTGATAAATGGATCAACCTTTGTTCTTGGCAGGACTATCATAAAGATGGGAACTAGGCACAACTGTTTGAAGCGCTTTTTTATTAATAACCTTTACAGGTTCTTGCAAAAGAACTTCAGATCCAACATGTCCAGTCTAAAGATAAATCCTGGTAAAACCTTGCAAGTTGGAATGCTATATGAGATTTGAAGAAGGTGACCAATTGTGGATGCATAAATGTGAAGTGTTAGCTAGAATGCTAGATTGCTGAAATTGGCAGACAGACAAGTTTTTCTTGATTATAAATGTCACAGAATTGTTTGGATGTGACCCATATTTTCTTAGCATGCAAACCATCTGCAATAATTGTCCTGTGAGTAGATGACCAAGTTATATACACTTTTGGGATAATTTTATTAGTGGGATGCAATTCTCTTTTTTTCTCCCCTAATATTTCACACTCTAAACTGCACCAACTTGTAGGCTGGTTAGTGAATGGTAAAGAAAAAATGTTGCACAGTGTGCAATTTATGTACACATACCATTCTCATTTATTTTCCAGTTGTATTTTGATAAGATGGTTATCTAAATCATATTCTTTGGTGAAAGTGTAAACCTCCTTGTAAAACAATATAGATCTTAATGTTGCAATGCTCCACTATAGGCATCACTGTCATAATCATGTTCCAGTGAAGATGCACTGTCATAATCATGTTCCAGGGAAGATGTATGAATTTTCTTAGCCTATTATTTAGTTCCTACAGAAAACTAGTTTTCCACAAATGGTAAGAGTTCTGCTCTGGTTATTGATGTCGACCTTGTAAGGATTATGTTCCACCATACATGTGGACTCTGTACTTATTAAGTTAGTACAGTTCTGACCAAATACCATTAACAATGGCAACACCTAAAAAAGAATATTCCTAACTTAATTATACCGCTGCCAAAGTGCCAATGGGTTCATCATCTTGGTTGATACTTTGACAGATTATAAAATATAAGAGGACCAAAAGTAGATAACTTGTCATTTTATACCAAAAAATGTATTTGTCAGAGTAGCATGCCAATAAGAAAATAACAGAAAACAACTTGTGGACAGGTTGAGAGTATATTGGAAATCAATTGTATAGAAATTCCACCTCCCTGGAGTTTCGATTTTTATTTGATGCCAAATCAATAGATCCGATGACTTTTTGAAAGCAAATTCTAATGATGAATATTACAGAGAAGAGAATATTGGAACACCAGGTAAGGTGGCACCAGAATCTACAATGAAGATGTTGCCAGTCACATATGATGATGTTTCATGGATCAGAAAACGAACCAGCGACGTCAATGCTGGATCAGTAGTGCCATGAGTCTTAAGTGGCACTATCTTTGAAACAACAGTGCTCAACCATTTCTTTTGCAATAGAGGAGCGGTTATCTCTGACTTGAAGATTCCAGGTGCTATTGAGTTCACTCTAATGCCATATGCTCCTAATTCCAAAGCCATTAGCTGCACAAGCATATCAAATATAGTTTGTTACAAGCACATTAAACAAACGCCTGATGAGAATTATTGAGTAATAAGTATAGTACCTTTGTGGCATAATGCATGGCAGACTTGGAAGCTGCGTATCCAGTGGAGCCAGGCAGATGACCACGGTTAAGACCAGAAACAGAGGAAATGTTAATTACTGAACCCTTTAGCTTGGCATCACGCATGCGTCTACATACATGCTTGGCGACGAGCCATGATCCTGTGAGGTTTGTCTTGATAAGTGTCTCCCATTCATCCTCAGGCCAATCCAATGGTGAGTGCACACCTCCTGAAGTGTACAAGGACAGAACTATATATATTACACTGCATCAAAGCCATTGTTCAAATATTTTACAACATGGTAAGTTCTTCTTTTAAGTCATATTAACATGTGTACCAAGATAGTTCCATTAATTCCAGAATTTTGTGACTGACAAATCTAATAGCCCAAATACTCAAGCAAAAGGCAGCCAAATTTGCGCATGCGTACCCTGGATGCATGTTGGAGATTACCATGACAAGAGTTTTACATTTCCAAGTTTAATTTGAAGAAACGCTCTGAACTATCCATCTCAACTTGGCCAATGCAAGTAAACAATTTGCAGTCATGCTTAATGGCGCAGTTGATCATTCTCGGCCAAAAGTATTGCACATGTGAGCTTAATTTAACAAGTATTTCCACATTGAGATGAACACAGACCTCTAATTGAGGAAAGGGATAATTGAATACAAATGAAATCCTAGAGCAATCCAAAGTGGAAAAATCCCGGAGTGCCAATCTGATCAATTCAGCGCCCGTGGTGAGTAGGATGGAGGATTTGATTGGCACTAGAAAAAAATGCTCACAATTGAATACTCCTACTTGATAGAGCAAATCAGATTATACCTCGAAGGCCAGCGTTGTTGATGAGGACGTCGATGCGGCCGAAGGCGTCCCAGGCGCTCTGCACGGCGGCCTCCAAGGCGGGCCCACCGGAGGCGACGTCGAGCTCGACGGCGGCCGCCGCCGCCGAAGCCCGGGGGGCGGAGGCGTTGATCTCGTCGCAGAGCGAGCGGAGGCGGTCGGCGCGGCGCGCGGCGGCGACGACCAGGCAGCCGGCGCGCGCCAGGTCGAGGCAGAACTCGCGGCCGAGCCCCGAGGAGGCGCCCGTCACCAGCACCACCCGCCCCTCCAGCCTGCTCCACGGCGGCGCCGCCGCCGCCGCCTCCTCCGGCCGTGACGACGACGCCATCGTCGCCAGGAGGCTTTCGGAGTCCACAGTGATTGTTAAACCACACGTTATCTGCGGTGTACTGGTAAATTCCTGTGTTATATATCCAGCGTCAATGACAAGGATGTTACTCTAATATGCACCCTAAAAACCCTTTATAATTTTGCTACACATTTATCGATAAATTTAACCGATGTTATTACAGTGCAACCGTAGTGTAATTATACTATAACTTATATGTAATTACATTGTAATTTATATGTAACTTCACATCATTTTAAATTGTTAGATTTGTTTCAAAATTTATGTATGTGAGGAAGTAAAAAAGTCACTCACACACATATGAGAAGATTCGTTGACACGATCCCCGTTTCACTAAAATAGTATGTTACGGAGAGATTTTTGAAAGTTACAGTGTAATTTTATGACGATTGAATTATAATTATATCTGTTAAATTTTTTATGGAAATTTTGTCAGTAGATATGTAGGTAATCCCCTCGAAATTAATCTACTCTTAGAGCATCCATAATATAGTCTAAAAGTGGTCCATAAGCAATACAATATTTGTTTCAGCCACCTATCAATATTGTGAAACTAGACAACTAGTCCATAGCAAAGAAATAACGAAAACTACCCATAAACATATGGGCTACCCATAGAGAATTAAATATATTAGTTTTCTCTGCCTCTTCTCTCCTCCTAATAATAATGTAAGTTCATATAAATGGGTCTCATTTGTAATATACATTTCTGTTGCCCCTTAGAAAATAGAAAATACTTCAAGACTCGTCTCACCGGTTCGCCGATAAGTTTTTCTTTTAAAACATTCTTAGCGAGTCTACCCGAAAATTTTACTTCTCTAATTTCACGATCGCGTTGAAGTAGTTGAACTCGCCTCATGATCAAAAAAAAAAAAAAAAACAGAAGTTGAACACGCCTCCCCCCTTGGCTCGTCGCCGACGCCTCCACCACCCTCGCGTTTCCCACCCGATTCCACCCCGAAACCCCTCAAATCGAGCGCGAATTCCTCTCCAATAGCTGCGGCTCCAGCCTCCGGTGGATTCTGGTCTCGCCGGATTCGAGCTCTGGTCGGCGGAGAGCACCGGATCCGGAGGTCACGCGGGCAATTGGTGTGCCCCGGAAGAACAAGAACCGGGAGACCATGCAGTACCAACCCCTCGACAGCAGCGGTCAGTATCAGTCTAATTCGATCAATCTGTTGTTGTTTACGCGAGAGAGAATTGCTGAGAGGAAAGTCTTTGCTCGTTCTTGTGTGGCGCCAGTAGGTTTTTGTGTGATTCTTTGTAGGAGAGTTCATCGGCTTGCGGCCGTACTTTACTGTTAGATTATGGGAAATTTCGTTTGGAAATATATTAGCTGATGAAAGGATGTCCACATTGTTAAACTCGGTCATACAGAAATTGCAAATATTATTTTTTGCTCCTCTAAAAAAATTATTATGCTTTTCCTGTGCGTTGTAAGTTGTTGTGAGTATGGAAGATAAGTGATGGATTAATGGAGGTGGATTTTACAGGGAGGGGAATCTTTGAGGAAGGGTATTAACTCACCTAAATGTGTATAATGCCTTGTGTTAAATATATATTGTGAAGAAGGGGAGATTCGTAGCGTTGTAGAGTAGTATGAGGTGAGGAATTGAGGATGTGCTGTTATGGAGATTACATACAAGTAATTGTAGCTTGTCAGGAATTAGGACGTGGCTATTTTGGTAGAATTGTCAATTAATTACTTAAAAGGAGCATCCACATATGTAGAGAATATCTAGATATGATTTTGCGAAACCTCAAACTCTTGACAATGTGTGTATTCAGTATTTCAATGGTATTGACTATGCCCTTGACTGCAGGCACTGATGACGACCTTCCTCCGACATACCAACCTAGAGGACCAAGAGTGATTTTCAATGGAAATGGATCACTTCCTCAACCAAACCTACACAGCAACGTGGACAGAGAAATACGTCAGATCGAGCAACAAGCGTACACTGGTGTTCTCAGAGCATTTAAAGTGCAGTCTGATGCTATAACTTGGGTAATTTCAACAATGGAAATCCTAAATTGTAATTGTCCCCTTCCTACCATTCTTTTATGAAAACATTATGTTGACTTTTGTAGGAGAAAGAAAGTCTAATAACTGAACTGAGGAAAGAATTGCAAATTTCTGATAAGGAACACCGAGTGCTCTTAAAAGGGGTTACTGAAGAGGAGGCTGTCTGTAGAATAAGGTATCATTCAGAAGCACTTCCATTTAGTGAAATGTACATCAATATCAACTTCAGTAATAACTGCAATATGATCAAGTTGTGATTTTCACATTTCTTAACTTATGTAGGCAATCAAGACAGACAGGTGGAACACAGTCCAGCTCTCACCATAGCAGTGTAGTTCATACTCCGGTACCTGCAAAGAGGCAGAAGAAATCCCATTCAGTCCCTGTGACCCCCCAGGCCCCTGTCATTACTATGCATGCAGTGGTGGGCAAGAAGGTAAGCAAATACAATCTGTTTGGAGTATTATGGACTTTGCTGTCCACCAGCAAGAGTTTTTTTTTTTTATATTTGTTCCTTGGTGACCATTGGTCAAGCATTTACAGATGTGCAAATATTTGCTTGTCCAACCTGCACCACATAACCACCCACACACAAACAATAAATAAAAATCAGATAGGCATTTTGGATATGTATGGTGATAGATTTTTTTTTTTTTTGGAATCGCTGCCATTTCAACCGCTCTTGCTTGTTTTGGGCAATTTTTCGACTGTTTGCTTCAATTTCCTGTTATGCACACAGTTATTCTACGAGGGGAAGGGAAGAGGTGGTTCTGTGCTAATTTGTTGGACCACATGCAAGACAACTCAACCAAGGGCCTTACAAACAGAAACTTTGAGGATTAATTTAGCGTTTTTTTTAATACTTGAAATGAGTCTGGAAGGAATTCTCTTTAGCTGCGCGCTGTCTTGATCTACATATGGAAGTTCTTTAGTTTGTGTGTTGCTTTTTCTTCTTGATTGCTCGATTAATGCCTACTATTTTTTCTTGGAGATCATGCTTCATCATCCATTTATTGTCCTTTAACTATATTCAACAAAGAGCGATTACTTTATCTTGACAGATGCTAGTTCATGTTATATAATGGGTTTCAGCTAATCAAGGTCTCTTATATCAGGGTGGTCGGCAGGCATCTGATCGTGTATTGAAGCGGCTTCCTAGCAATAATAGTCCTATGTTGGGTTCAAGCAGGAGAAGAGGAAGGCTACACCCAAATGAACTGATAAAGGGATATTCTCCATTAGATGGGTTTGGCATACCTAATACCGGCAATGTTGTAATGGAGGTACACATTTCTCAAAAAAATAAGGTGATTAAATAGAATATTAGCATCATCAGGTTTATGCAGATGTATGTTGTCAACAGGTTGAGAAGGTATTATCCAATCCAAATATGCTTGAAATTGAGAAGGCAATGAAACTTCTTAGAGTAAGTTAGCGTTGTTCTAATTTCGCCTGTAATTCCATTCAGAAGATGAACAAAGAATGTTTAGCATCCCTTTCTTCTCCTAAAATCACAACAAAGATGATTATCTCTGTAGGATCAGGAGCAATCATTGCTTGATGCAATTGCAAGACTTGACGAAGCATCTGATGGTGAAAATGGTAAGTTATCTTCTTTTGTTTGAATTGAAAAATATGATATTTGCAATGACTACCTATGTTCAGAAGTGTTTGTATGGATTTGCAAATACGAACTTGAGACTCAATGTCATTTATATGCTAGGCAGCATTTATTTACTTCTTATGGGAGATTGTGGCATATAAGGCAGTTGCATATGTTGTTATGTATACTGAAATGGTAATCAAGTATGCAAGGCTGCCTTGGTCCTTGGGGCATGACTGTTCAGGATATCCTCCCCCAAAATTTCGAAAATAAAGTATCAAAAGTTCTAGTTTGAGTTAACTGATGGCTTAATATGTGTATTTACCTTTCAAAATCCCCTTGCCTTCTTATTCTGAGCAAAAGTGGGAAATGACCAGTTAAATTTGGTCCTTACCTCTCACTAGTCTGTCTGGAACGCTGGACATAGTATAGAACCTTTATGTTTTATTCAAATTGAAGACCAATTCTACCTCCAACAATATATGAAACTGTTATTAATAGATGCTAGTACTATATCCTGCTATGAAGGGCTGTAAAATGAAATCACAATTCGGGTATGCTAAGTTATGCACATCATCGATTTGGTCTCAGGTGGGACGTCTTAAGCTAGACCAAACCCAAATACTGTCTAGCTACTCAGCGAACATGTGGAATAACATGATGCATTGCACATTACTTATGATCTTGATCAATTTCACTAACCGCTGTTTATACTTTATATAACAGAAGATATTGTGCTCGTTGCAAGCCAACTAGGTACTACCGTTGCATGACATCGGTGGTCATGGCATCACTTGCTGGTGACGTCTTGAGCTTTAGAACTGCAGGCACTAACTGGATACCCACTTCAGACGGTGGGTGAAGATGGAAACTCATGTGAAGAATGCAAGGTCGGCCAGATATATTGGTCGACATGAATTGTGAATTTGTGGTTGGAATATATATTGTTAGAGATCTCCATATCTTGTATTGTTGCAATGGTATTTTCTTTGCAAATGTAGAGATAACTGCCCTAAAAATAGAGCGTAGATGAAACCCCCTTTCTCCTTCAGAAATGGGGACATAAATTAGTAGGTTGTAAATTATTTGCTTCTGTGCCATCCGTGCCTGCAAAGAAATTGCGGCACTGTACAGTATGCAGCGCGCTATCCTGTATCAAGAAAATTATTTTATGAATCCTGTGACTAATATGAATCTGTGTAAAAAGGTTTGGAGAAACTCATTTGCAACACGTTCTGCAAAGCGATCTGGCATGTGACTCAGTGATTGCATCTTGTACGGCGGGCACAGCATTAATGAATTCTGCGAAGAAAACAGAATTACTCGTGTAATAAACTGAACAAAAGCGGGGATAGCTCAGTTGGGAGAGCGTCATACTGAAGATCTGAAGGTCGCGTGTTCGATCCACGCTCACCGCATGATTTAAAATCTTCTTTTTTTTTTGGCCATTTCTTGCAAGCCAGATGAATTTTATTCCAACTTTTGCCAGCAATGTGAAAAACGTTAAACCTCCACCCTTTTCCAACTTTTACCAGCCAGAGAAAAATGTTACAGCAAAGCTGAAACACAGGTGAAATTTCTTCGAACTTTTGCCAGCCAGGTGAAGAATGTTAAAGCTCAGCTGAGACATGTGCATTCAGATATGCATGTAACAACTTCCAACAGCAATACCAGATTACAGAATCCCACTCGAGTTTATTGCGGTTAAATGATGATGCCACATTGACACCATATGTTCTTGATTCGATTCATGCCATATTGACACCAATGTGTCCTGATTCAGTGTAGGTTACAGAATCCAGTCAAAAACATATCCTACAAAACCAGCCTTAAGGTGAACACGATTCTTTCACCAAAGTTCTTAATCTTTCATGAAGTATCGAGGTGAGAGTGAAACCAGATGTTCCATCGTTCATCTCCCGCCAAAAAGCAACAAAAATTCTCCCACCTCCTCGCTACAACAATTGGCGCCAAAACACAAAAACAAAAGGTTTTTTTCTACCGCCAACCCCTACAAACATTTACACCCGCAGCCTTTCCCGCCACCTCCCCATTCCGACGACCGTTCACTTCTTCCCGCGCTTCCTGGTCGGCTTGTCGTCCTTGGCCCTCTTGGACGGCGGCGGCGTCGGCGGCGCGGCCGCCCGCTTCGGTGGCCGACCGATCCTCCTCCCTGGTGGCGTCGAGGCGGCGGCGCCCTTCTTGGAGCCTGAGCCGCCGGCCTCCTTCCGGCCGTCGCCCTTCCCGGATGACGACGACGACGACTTCTTCTGCTGCTCCGTCGCCGCCGCGGAGAGCTTCAGCGTCTCCAGCAACGACACCCTCTCCGTCGACGGCGAGCCGTTCTGGTTCATCCGGTTCAGGAAATCCACGGCGTTTCGCTTCTTGGCAACCCCGCCCGCCGCCGCCCCTGCCGAAGAGCTGCCGCCTCCGCCGCCGCCCTTCTTGTCGGACTTCTTGGTCCCCTCGCCGGTCTCCGAGAGCTTCGCCGTCTTCTGATTCCTCGCGGGTCCCCGGCTCTTGTTCGTCCTCATGCCCCGAGCCTTCTTGTCCTTGGCAGTGGCCGCCGCCGTCGCCGTCGTCGCTGCCGCCGCAGCCTTCTTCTTCTCCTCGCTGCCGTCCTTCTCCTTCTTGTCCGTCTCTGCCTTCTCCGCCTTCTCCCCCTTGGCAGCCGCCGCCGCGGCCTTCGCGATGGAGCTCCGCTTCCGGCAGACGATGATCGGCGCCTTCTCGAGCAGCGGCCCAGCGATGTCGGCGTCGGCCTTGGCCGGCTTCTTCTTCTCCTCCTCCTCCGCCGCCGCCGCGGGGGCCTTCGCCCCGGCGTGAGGCTGCCGGTCCTTGGAGACCTGCTTGGAGACGAGCGCGCGCAGCTGGAGCGCGGCGGCGTGCTCCGGCGAGCCGCGCGGGAAGAAGACGAGCGCGTTGGCGCAGAGCAGCATCATGTCGCGGTAGAACTCGGACGCCGACGCGTAGCACGCCGCCGCCGCCGCCGCCGCCGTTGCACCCACCAGCCTCGACCTGACCGTCTCCAGGTCCACATGGCGCCTGATCGTGCCACTGTACCTCTCCCCATCCTGCAAAATGAACAAAGATTCAAAAATCAGTTTAAAAAAATGACAAAAAACGAGCTTAAAATTCATAATCCTGGGCGACTCGCATTTGGAGACGGTCAAGGATCGTTGCATCATTTTTATTGGGCTTGGCAGCGAGTGGCCGACATGATGGGCCCACACGTCATCTCCCCCACAACGATGATGTGGTGGCACATGACGGGCCCATGCTGAGCCAGCCCGGGCCCACCGCCACGGAACCAAACAACGCCGCGCCTCTCCCAACGCCACTCGTTTTTCACCCTCAGTTTTTATTATTATCTCCGCATCCTCGTGGGACATTTAAATCCAACGGCTCAGATTCGTCGACCAAATCGCGGCCGTACGAGAAGCGAAAATTCCACGTTGTTTCCTTGCTCATGACGACCGTGACGAACGAAGAGGCTGACCCCTTTTAAGATTGTACTTTACTCTGATCAGCCGCTATAATTTCGTGATTAGTTGAGGCACTAATCGCCAAACGGTTAATAATAAATCGCAAGAATGTGCAGTTAAAAATTTAAAGTGCGGGTAATTGAAATGTTATTAGAAGCAAACCAGATGTTTTCTCTTTTTTTTTCATTTTTTTACTGTGAGTGAAAATGGGAGGAGTTTTTTTTTTCTTACCTGGCTATCGAGCCGCCGCTCGAACACGGCGCCGGCCTTGCTGGTCCGGACCGACTCGAGGAAGGCGACGAGCGGCTCGGCCTCGGCGGCGGGGAGGGGCACGGACACCGACGGCGACGCCGCCTCCGCCTCTTCGCCGCCGCCTCCGCCCTTCCGTCGCCGGCGGCGGGACGGGCTGGCGGAGCTCTGCACGTCGCTGCTCTCCTTCTCGACGTCCGCCTCCTTCGACCCAGCCACCGACTCGCCCGACGCCTCCTCCTTCACGGCGATGTCGCCGGCCGCGGGCGCCGCCGCCGCCTCCTCCTCCTCCTCCGCCTCCCGGTCGTCGTCGTCGGCGACCGCGGGGTCGTTCTCCGGCCGCTTCAGATCTGACGAGTTCGACTCCTTGCATGACCGGCCGGATTCGTGGCCGGAGACCCTGTCCTCCACGGCGCCGGCCTCCTCCGGTGATCCCTTCCGTACATCCTCCTCCTCCTCCTTCACCGCCGCCGCCGCCGGCGGCGGCTTCGTCTCGCCGGAGATGCTCTTTTCCCTCTCCTCCTTGAGCCGTTTCACTTTTGATTGCAACGACCTAACCATTTAAAAATAAAAAAAATCGCAATAAGCAGTTTATTCCAAAAAAATTGTGGCCGACCGATCAGCATCAGACGGTGGAGAGTGGCGGGCAATGCACGAACCAGCCGAAAGTTAAAATAAAAAAACAAGGTGTTTATTAATTTCTTTTTTTGGTTATTTTCGGGCTGGTTTTTACCCGATCGAGAGATCGTATTTCTCGACCTCGCGGCGGAGCTCGGCGACGCGCAGCTCGCGGAGTTCCTCCACCCAGCCGGCGACGGCGGCGGCGTCGGCCTCTTCCTCCTCCTCGCCGCCGTCGGCGTCCTCGTTCTCGGCGGTGACGCCGCCGGAGAACCGGCGGTGGAGGACGCGGAACCGGAGGCGGCAGGTGGTGGGGGTGAACACGGCGGCGGAAGGGCACCTCGACTGCATCTCCTTCGCCACCGCGTCCCAGCTCGCCGTCCCATGGCGGCTCACGGCGCACGCCAGGAGCAGGTCCTCCGACGTCCCCCAGATCTCCCCGCCCCCGGACCCCGCCGCCGCCGCCGCCGCAGACGACGACTCCGGCGAGACGCCGGGGTCGCCCGATCTGGCGGTCATCCCCTCCGCCCTATCGGTTCCGCACGCCACGACGACGACGACGGCGGCGGCGGCGGCGGGTCACAGCGCCGCCTCCATGGACGGCGGGGCGAGGTGAGGGCTAGGGTTTGGTGGTGTTTGGGCCTTCTCTCTCTCTCTCTTTCTCTCTCTTCTTCTGCGTGTGGTTCGTCTAGGTTTTGGTCCCTTGCCCTGGCCTCCTCTCTTCGTCCCTTTCGATCCACGATTTTCACCTCCACTTTCTTTATTTGGTTGGATTTTAAAATGGAACCGCAAGCCTCTTCGGGTAATTCGGAGGTTTCGTGGGGTGCCTCTGCGAAATGGGTCCGAATTTAACTGGGAACATTTTTTTTTGGACGGAGTGGTGGGGCCCACCCTGCCAGGTACAGGTCGTATTATTCAGTCGATTTTGTCGTAGTATTTTTTTTAGAGGTTCAATCGATTTATTATTTTATACAGTTGTCATGTTCTCCTAGCCATCCATGATTACGCAGTGTTTTAAGACGCCGGATAATAATTAAGCAAGAAAGAAAATCGGCTGGCATGTGGGGCGCACCATAATGTTTCTTGGATTTTACTTGTACGGTAGGAGTAGTAGTACGGTAGGGAACTAGTGATGGAGGTTAACGTTTTTATCTCTTTGGTTATGGCTTGTTCAAATAAAAGGGTTTACAATTTACAAAGGATTTTGTAGGATTTATGATTCCTTTGAATTTGCTACTGTTCACGTGTTCTTGAATTGTAGGAAACACACAAAGGAATTTTGGAAGAATATTGTAATGTTCCCATGAAAACATAGGAGTTCCAAATGATTCCAAACATCCACTTGTTAACAACCAAATTTGGTAAATTTACATCGGATTTGGAGCTAAGGCCGAAGTGGATTTGGAGGGAAATCGATTATAGAAACAGGATATGAATCGGCTTCGGAACTGCATCGGCTACAGTGTGCATCGACAGTTACCGAATCGGACAAGGCAAGCCGATGTAGCCGATTCCGGCAAGGTGATATTAGAATCATTGTCAGATTGAGTTGACGTGCTTCATGATGACTGCCACGTATGGATCGAGTCCGAAGAAGGCAGTTTTATCTATTAATTAGGAATAGTTTGTTAGTTTCCTTTTATCTTTAGGATAGTTTCTTTCTTGTCCGACAAGAACTTGTATCAACCCATGGGTATAAATATGTACACCTGGGGTCTATGTAATCTATCTTCACGATCAATACAATTCGGCGCATCGCCACCCTTTTTACTTCTACTTTTGTTTTTTACGTTCCGGCGGGACTTGGCACTTAACGCGGGGCTGCATCGATGTTCGATCTCCGGCGAAGGGGTAAATCCAATGTTCCATCGGCCCATGCAATTGTCTCATCTACATCGGCGTCGTTTAAGGCTGCATCAGTACATTCGACCTCTTGGATTGCTCTGGTTACCTATTTATCATATATATCTGTTAATCTAGTCTTAGCATATCAATTTAGCTCTATCGGCTGCTTCTCATTTTAGGGTTTCTGCCGGTATCGGCTAAATCGCGTTGCTAGATTAGATTAGCTTAGACATCTACCACCCTAAAAACTCGGTCAATGGCTTGATTGTCTAGATATTATGTTTCTTTTCATACTTAGTGCTGCATCAGTTAAGTTTGACCTACTAAGTCGTGCTTAGAACCATAATCTCTAGCCTGCTGCTTGACTGCCAATAAGGATTTCATCGGGGTTTCAGCTGGTGAGTTATCTGGACGTTGCATCGGCTCGTAAGGATTGCACATACATATAAGTTGGATTTAGCCGATGACAACAAAGGTTTCACTGTTTTATCTAATCTTGTGGATTTAATGACATCGAACCACCAGCCGATATGTGCTTTAACCTTTAGATCAATACTTGTTCTACTATATCATATTGTTAGCCGATTGATTTCTACTGAATTATATTGTTATTTTATTACATCATCATCAGCCGATTGCCTTTATATCATTATCTATATTGGACATATAGCCGATTGCTTAAACCCTATCGCTATCGGCTGGTATTGGCATCGGCTATTATCGGCCATCGGCTGGAACTACTCCATCGGCTTGTCAGCCGATCGGGTGTTTTGTCTATTATTTGCATATCTTGTCAGTTGCAGGATCAAACTGACTGGCACGCCCGCATCTCATCAATCTTTGGACCTGCACAGGAGTTAAGCAGATCTCTCAGGCCGCTGTGTTCTATTTTTTCGTCAACACCACTCCAACCTCTTTCTTTTTCATCATAGGCAGCCATAAGATGAAATCCTCATTTTTCTATCCCTATATTCGGAACATCTAATCCTACAAAGGTTGTGTTTGTGATCGGGAGGTGAGTTAGGAACTTCGCCTCCCACGCATGGAAAACTAAACGATCCATTAGCGCGTGATTAATTAAGTATTAGCTCTTTTCTAAACATGGATCAATATAATTTTTTAAAGCAACTTTCGTAAAGAGAATTTTTGAAAAAAAAAGAATGTACCGTTTAGCAGTTTAAAAAGCGTGCGGGCGAAAAACGAGATGAGTGAGTTGGAAACTTAGAGAAAAAAACTCAGCCAAAATTCCTTTGTTTACTAATCCTCCATTTTTCTTATGCAGCCTTACGATTTTCCTATTCCTGCCCCTAAGTTCAGCACTTTCGGCTGATAGTCTCCACGCCATGGCGCACAGATAGTGCAGGGGCTAGTGCCTTTTGCTTTTCATTTTTCGTGGGGAGGTTTTCCTTTTTCGTGGGGAGGTTACTGCATCTGTTACATAATACACTGAATATACAATATACTTCCATCTGTTTCAGGTTATAAGTGTTTCAGGTTATAAGGTTATAAGACGTTTTGACTTTAGTCAAAGTCAAACTACTAAGTTTGACTAACTATATAGAAAAAATATTAATATTTACAACACAAGCATAGTTTCATTAAATCTATAATTGAATAGATTTTTATAATATATTTGTCTTGGGTTAAAAATACTACTGTTTTTTTCTATAAAATTAGTTAAATTTAGAGTAGTCTTGACTTTGACCAAAATCAAAACGTCTTATAACCTAAAACGGAGGGAACTTTAGGTTGATTTCATTGTACTAAATCAACCAGGCATCAACGGGAACCCACTGGGCGATGTAGCTGAAATTATATTCGGTTATTCCGCACCATCCCTATAGTTGGCAAAGGGCAATGTAGCCGAGATAGGCAGTAGGGGAATGTGATTTCACGAGGATCAGATGGATAAATAGGGGTTTTGGGAAGCTGACTTTGGAAAGATGAGATGTGCAATAGGGGGAAGGATTATCGTGTGACACTGTATAATATAAAGCCTTTTCTAGTCAACTCCTTCATTGCATAGGCCTTCCTTCTTCTATGGCAAGGTGACAGTAAGGTCAATATTGATAGTGGAAGGCGGCGAGCAACAGAGGACGCCATTGGAGAGCTCCGATGCTGCCCACCATAACTCCATCTTTCACATTCACTGGCCAATTTTGGGGAATTTGGAGCAAAAGGCAAAATCAGGGAGAAAAGGCTTTTTGGCTGCTTGAGGTAGAAGTGTAGGAGTAGAAGAAGAGCAGAGCAGGCAAAGTTCTGCTGGCTGAATGAAAACCATATGATGCTTGATGGCTACAAGAATTTGAGAATTTGGTCGTGAGCTCCTGCTGTTGACCCTGGGAGATACAAAAATGTGCTGCCTTCGTTGGATGATTAGGATGGTTGGGAACTTGGAATCCCCATTTCTTGGGAGTCTTTGGACTGGATAATCCATTCAATCCCAGGTCAAACAAAGCAGAAAGAATATGATAAGTAGTTAAGTACTAGCTGTAGAAGAAAACCTGATGATTTCTTGATTGGAAATGCTCAATTATACAAGCCTGAAGCTAGCATGTACCAGCAACACCGGACAGTGAGGTTGGTTAGCCGTGGTGGTGGAGTGGAGCTCTTGGCAATGGCTGGATGCCAAAGCTCTCACCTCAGCCGCGCCTCCAATGCCCTCTTCAACTCGTCGCCAAGCTCATCCGACGAAGGCTTCGTGGCGTTCTCGGCTGCGGCCATGTCCTTGCCACTGCCCCGGCGATCCGGCTTCACCGGAGATGAGTAGTGGTATGGCTGTGCTGGTTGTGGCGGCGCCGGCGGCGTCCTCCAGGTGTCGGGTGCGCCGGCGGTGGACACCGCCGCCCTGCGGCTCCCGACCTCGGCGCGCAGGTCCTCCACGGCGCGGCGCAGCATCCCGCTCTCCGCGTTCAGCGCCTCCAGCTGCCGCCTCACCAGCGAGAACCCCTCGCCGCCGCGTCCCGTGCCGTCCGCTGCATCGGCGTCGGCGGCGGCAGCAATCGCCGGCGCTGGTGGCGAGGAATCCGCGTTGCCGCGCGTTTTGTCGGCGGCGCGAGGTGACTGTTCGATGGAGATCTTGTCAATGACCAGCAGGGGCATCTTGCTGACCGGAACCCGCGCGCCGCCCTTGCGGCTGCGGCTGGCACCGACCATGGCGTCGTCGGCGGCGAGCGCCGCCTGCAGCTCCGGCGGCGCGCGCAGCCCCCAGTTGAACCGCAGGCTCGCCCTTCCCCACAGCGGGAGCACGCTCCTCGTGGTGAGCCGCATCCCGGACAGCAGCGCGCCGACCCCGCCGCCGCTCTTCCCCGCCGCCGCGAACGAGAACGCCTTGTAGTTCACCTCGCGCCCATGGCCATCGCCATCGGAGACCTCCCCGACCTTATTACCGGGATGCGGCGAGGAGCGGAGGGTGTGGGAGAGCGAGAAGTCGCCGAGGCGCGGCTTGAGGAGGAGGAAGAAGGCGGGGGATCCGGGGTTGCCGGAGAGGAGGTTGAACTCGGCGGCGAGGGAGAAGGGCGCGCGGGCGGGGGAGCCGAGGGGCCCGACGCCGGCGCGGACGGAGACGGAGAAGGGGAGGGCGGGGTCATTGGGGCGGTACGAGAGGCGGATCGCCGGGCCGAAGGAGAAGGCGGTGGAGAGGTCGAGGCGGAGCTCGCGCGGGTCGCCGCCGGCGGAGAGGCCGGAGTGGAGCGGCAGCCCGAGCACCCTGATCGGCACCCTGGCACGCAGCAGCGGCCGGTCGTCGTCGCGGAACTTGATCGACGCCTTCATGCGGGATGAGAGCTTTGGGTGGCGGTGGTGGGGGCTGCGGATTTGCGGCGGAGGTCACGCCGGCGGCGGCGACGGCGGCGAGACGATGTGGGTAGTGGTGGAAGGGTGGGAGATGGACTTGGGCTGGATGGATTGGAAGTGGATGGAAGGGAATGAAGGGGCAGGCCGAGTTCTTCATCTTTGCCATTTTTCTTTCTCCTATTTCTTTTTCCTCCCATTTTTTTTACCATTTTTTTAGGATTTTGCCATCTTAGGAAGATGTTAATGTACTACTCCCTCCATCCCCTAATATAAGTGATTTTAACATTTTACTTATACTGTTTGATTATTTATCTTATTCAAAAAAATTAGAATTATTATTTATTTTATTTGTGACTTACTTTATTACCCAAAGTATTTTAAGCACAACTTTTCATTTTTTATATTTGCACAATTTTTTTAATAAGACGAGTGGTCGAACAATACAAGCAAAATATCAAAATCCCTTATATTAGAGGACGGAGGGAGTAGTACATTAACTCCTTTCGTCCCAAAATATAAACATTTTTAGAGTTAAACATAGTTATTAAGAAAATAGATAAAATTAAATAGAAAAGTATTATGATTGGATGATAAGTAGAGCTAGGTGAAAAAATTAAATGGTGGAGGTTTGTGATTGGTTAGAAAGAGAATATTGGTGTAGAAGTTGTTATACTTAAGATATAAATTGTTATATTTTGGGACAATAGAAGTAATTTTTACTTCTGGACAAAAGTAAGATAGTTAGCAACATAAGGGGGCAATTTCACTGTCAGCATAAAAACCCGCTTCATGGTTTATCACTCACTTGCTAATAAAAAAATATTCCCTCCATTCCTAATTGATCTACATATTTTATAAGTACACCAAAATCAAGAAAAGCTAATAACTCTCTCATACTATATGCACTCTAGCAACAAACTCGATGCATGCACCATCCCCACTATTTTTTAGCCAATAGCAAATCAAGATATTGCATGTAGGTTATAAATACTTGTGTGCATACTTGCATGCATCAATGTCCATTTACTCCAATACATAAATAACGAATAGACTCAATGAATAAACACAAATATGTAGATCATTTAGAAATAACCTCAAAAAAATATATGTAGATTAATTTGAAATGGAGGGAGTAACTAGTAAGCAAGAAAAAAAAGATAAGGAATTTATCTATTGGCCACTCTTAAATTTAGCTTTAACTATTTGTATCCATATGTCAATGACATGTGAACCCTCATATGCCTATAACATATAAGTATAGGTGATGAATTACATCAAAGAGTGATAAATAGTTAAATATCTTAAGATTTTAAACACTTGTCTCCCTAACCTTCTTGCATCCTTGATCCCTACAAATGGTCGTTAAAAATTTCTGAAAAAATAAATCTAGAGTTGAGTCGATTCATGTCCAACAATACAGTTGGGGTTGTTTTGGATGCCACAATTTCTCAACCCATTTGTGGCCCATATGCAAGGTAGCAAACATTGAGGTAGAAAATAAATAAATAATGACTTCCATTCTTTCAATATGGAAGGCATATCATTCTCGGTATGTCCTATCACTCTTCTACTCTTTCTAGTTATGTAGGTATGCAAATTTATATTTACCAGTCATATTATTTTTTTCCTGTTTTTAAGAGTGTCATTCTACATCAATATTTCCATCGGAGGTAATAATAAATAGAGAAACAATGAAAAGAATACAAAGAAAACCCTAGACAAGACCCTATTGGACAACCAAAATTTGACATAGTACATATCGAACAACCACAACTATCATTTGACAGGGTTGTTTGAATGGTAAAAGGTTGTAAAAGCACATGATGCATGTTCATAGCTTATCGAAACAATATCACCAACACTTGAAGGAGCAATAAAATGTACATGAGGCCAGGTAATCAACCTTACAATTGGTGGTAGACGAGCAAGATGTATTGAACAACCATGGTTCCGTAGGCCACCCTGCATGCATGCGCTTTCACTTTTCTTTTTATCCTAGCGAACAACCCATTGAACAGCCACACTTTGGCAAAGAGCATGTTAAAAAACTGTTGTTTGATGGGTGCAGCCGTTCGATATGCACCCTATCAAACTTTTGTTGTACGATAGAATGCTAAATTTGTGATTTCAGCCAGGTGATCTCTAGTTTCGCGATTTTCAGTAAATATAATATTGTTTTCTATAAATGTGCTTGTTCTATTCAAACGTAAGCAACAACTTAACATGTAGTATGAAAATAAAACTTTAGCCTTGTTTAGTTTGTGGAAAAGTTTTGGGTTTGGTTATCACATCGGATATATGGACACACATTTGAAGTATTAAACATAGTTTAATAACAAAACATATTATAGATTCCGCCAGAAAATTGCGAGACGAATTTATTAAGCCTAATTAATCCATCATTAGCAAATGTTTACTGTAACACCACATTGTCAAATCATGGCGCAATTAGGCTTAAAAGACTTGTCTCACAATTTACACGCAATCTGTCTAATTGGTTTTTTCCCTACATTTTATACTCCATACATGTGTCTAAACATTCGATGTGACAGCGTGAAATTTTTTGTTTTGGGAACTAAACAAAGCCTTTGTAAACCATGGCAAAATGATATGTTTCACACATAACAAAAAAAAACTCAAAACGTAGAATAAAGAAAGTCCAAATGCGAAAGTGTACTTAAAGTTAGAGCATCTGCAACAGGCTTCTTAGTCTACTCTCCAAGTTAAATTTTGACTAAAATTCGTGCTCCAATAGACAGGCCAAGCCATCCGGCTGGCCAAGGTGCTCCTCGCGCAGGCCAAATTTGGCCAGCCAAAAAGGCCTAGCCATTTGTGGGCCCCACGCATGTCCCACGCTTTTCCTCTCTCTCCCTCCCATGTACTACTCCCACTGATCCTCTCCTCCGCTCCCCCAGATCCAGCACGCCGGCGCATCTTTCCGCCGGCGCCACTCCTCTGTGTCGCTCCTCCGCCGGTGCCGCCCCTGTGCGCCACCCCTCCGCCGTTGTCTTCTCGGCCAGGGCCGCCCCTCCGCCATCGTGTTTTGCTGTCGAAGACGCCGTCGACCACCGCCGTCGTCTTTTGCCGCCGACGCCAGCCCTCTGTGCCACCTCTCCGCCGTCGTCTTCTGCTGCCAGGGCGCTCGGGATCCGTCGCCATCGTCGTCACCCGTCTCCCGCGCGCGGGATTTGTCGCCGCCATCGCCTCGCGTGCATGTACTCGAGGATTGACGGGTTGATGCGAAAGAAGAGAAAGAGAAAGAGGAGGAAGAAGAAGGCAATGGAGGCTAACATGTGGGTCCATTAGTAGTAAATAGAGAGACTGTTGGAGTGAACACCTAGGCTGTGTTTAGATTAGGGGTGAAAAGTTTTGGCATGTCACATCGAATATACGGACACACATTTGAAGTATTAAACGTAGACTAATAACAAAACAAATTACAGATTCCGAATGTAAACTACGAGACAAATTTATTAAGCCTAACTAATCTGTCATTAGCAAATGTTTACTGTAGCATCACATTATCAAATCATGGAGCAATTAGGCTTAAAAGATTCGTCTCGCAATTTACACACAATCTATATAATTAGTTTTTCTTTTTGTTTATATTTAACTAGCTGGGTGGCCCGCACAATTGCGCGGCTAGCATCCATATAAAATTATATATTTTTTAATATGATTTTACTTAAAATTTATTAAATAGTTTTCTCATTGTCTTCAAATTTTGAAAGTCCAAACCTTATCATCCTCTTGTTTCTAGTTTTATAATTTTTAAAAGTCACACCAGTTGCTACCCTTTACTTTTGTCATATTATTCTTTATTTGATTGCTCGATCTACCACTGTTTCTATTCATTCTCCTTGGAATCTTTAAAATTTGGATCCAAAAACTATTTAAAGTTTATTGTCATGTTGGGCTTCTTTTTTATAATTTCTAGAAGTCCCGTCCAACGCTGCCATTATACTCCTCTACGACCGTCCACTTCATCTTCTCTTTATTGTCATTGCTTTTTTAAAGTCGAACATAATTATTGTTTAGGTTCAATTTATTTTTACTTTCTAGAAGTTCTGCCAAAACGTCAGCGGCTTTGTCACTGTACTCCTCTACGGCTCGGCCGTTGTTGCCCTTCTTTATTGTCATTGAGATTTTAAAATCAAACATGATTATCATTGGGGTTTATTTTTTTACTTTTCAGAAGCCCGAACTTTTAAAAATTGGACCTTATAGTTTTTAGAGTTTATCGTCTCGTTGGGTTTCATTTTCTTTATAATTTTAGAAATCCCGTCAAACGCTGCTACTATACTCCTCTATGACCTGTCCGCCGCATACACTTTATTGTCATTGGGATTGTAAAAGTCGAACATAACTATCATTAGAATTCATTATTTTTACTTTCTAGAAGACACACCAACCATCGGCGGCTCTGCCATTGTATTCCTATACGACCCGCCATTGCCTTTCATTTTTATTTTAATTGAAATTATAAAAATTAAAAATAATTATCATTGTGGTTTATTTTTTTACTTTCTAGAAGTCCCACCAACCGCCTTGACAGATTGCTTCACGACTTGCCTGTCGTCATTTCTTTTAATCGTCATTAGGATTTTCTTTTTGGTGTTTTATTAATAGTTTTTAGATGTCCCATCAACCGCCACCACTCTGCTCTTGTATAGGGCTATTACTTAATTAATCTCGACATGTGTTTTAAATGGTCTTTTCTTTCAATAGTCTTTATTTTTTATCACCAAGTTTAATTATTTATAAATTGTATTTCTAGATGAAATCTCTTTTTCTTTTTCTAATTTCAGAATTTATTTTATTTTTCGTATTGTGTTGTTTTGATTTTTTTTATTTTTTTTAATTTCAGTTGTTTCAAAATTGTATTCCTACTTTAACTCTCTTTTTAATTTGCCTAATTTCGTATTTTATTTTATTTTTTATTCTGAATTTTAATTAATGTACTATTGGGTTATTATATGTACTCTTATTTCAATATTGCTTATATTTAATTACGAATTTCAATATTGCTTATATTTAATTACAAATTTCAGTTAATTTTAAATTGTATTCATACTTGAACTCTTCTATTATTTTCTTTTTTCTAATTTTTATTTTTTATTCTAAATTTTGATTAATCTCGTATTGGATTCTTGTATGGACTCATCTTTCAATATTCCTTATTTTTAATTCCGAATTTCAGTTATTTTTAAATTGTTTTCCTAAATGGACTCTTTTTTTTCTAAATTCGGATTTTATTTTATTTTTATTCCGAATTTTGATTAATCTCATATTACGGTCCAATATGGACTACTCTTTCAATATTGCTTACTTTTAATTCTGAATTTCAGCTATTTTTAGATTGTATTTTTACTTGGACTCTTCTTTTTTTTCTCCGATTAATGTTGAAATTTCTAGCCTCCACAGCGAACATGATGCCTGTTTTGAAGGTTGTTTTAATAATATAATAAATAGATTGTTCAGGTGATATATGTGTTGCCATGGCTCATATTTCTAGATTCACATGAGTATGAGTTAAGAATATTTGAGATATTGTAGATCTTTAGCCATTTTGTCAAGTCTGCTGAATGTGTAACACATTTGGTCACCGCCTTCGAGTGGTTTGACGGGCACATCTCAGGCTGATGTTGACTGGCGGGCTAAAGACCCAGCATTGTCTCCAATATTCTTCTCTCGAGACGTCGGATATTTCATTATGTCTGCCTGTGACAGTAATTAGTTTTTTTTGTCTATATTTAATACTCCATCCATATGTCCAAACATTCTATGTGATAGGGTGAAAAGTTTTTACGTGGGAATTAAACGGGGCCAAAGTTGCATTCAGTATTGTGTCTACAGCTGATCCGGATTCCATCTAATCATAGGGTGCTCAGCTGAGCCAGCGATGGTTGTTTGCCACGTTTAATTCTAAACATCGTCGTACAATCTTAAGTACATAAAGATGATCACCAATCAGTCTCAACTCCCAGTTACTTCTTATAATTGTCGTATGATAATCTAGTGCGCAACTGAACAAAATATATTTTTTCTTTTTTAATATGTGCCAAAGCTATTAGCTATTTTTAAGTACATACAGATCTCTATACATCCCATCAGCGTTGGGCTAAATAAAAATGCTACTAATATGTTTAGCATTCTCTCTTGCATTTGAATCCGGTTAGGAATGCATATTGCTTTCTACTGGCTAGTTTTGATTCCAATGTCATGGTGTCAGGATGGCATGCAGCAGATACAATTAATGTGTCCGATTCAAAAATCACAATGTGTCCGATTCAAAAATCTCTCTGAACTTTCCAAATTGTATGAGGACGCCGAGTCATTGTAAATCCTATTTGAATTCTATTTTTTTTATTCGATTAATGTGAGAATTTCTAGCCTCCACAGCGAACGTGGTGCCTTCTTTCAAGTCTGTCTTAATAATATAATAGATAGATAGATAGATACTCCATGCATGTGTCCAAACATTCGATGTGATAGGGTGAAAAGTTTTTGCGTGAGAACTATAACAGTGCCCTAGTTTAACTACCTAAATCAGTTGAAGAGTTGGCTATCTGAGTATTTGGAGAGTCTAATTTAGAGATGCTGTTAAAGATGCTCTTACTAGCAGTAAATTTTGACCAAACAATTCAGTCACATTACTACGGTGTCAGTTGCATGTGTAGCAATTTCCTTGGAACAAAGTACTCGCACAGCGGCCACGACCACCGTTCGGCCCCGTTTTTCTTGGGAACGAGCTACGCAAAACCCTACCCCCTTCTCCGCTATTGGCTCGCGATGGAGGCCAGCCGGCCGGCGCACGCGCGGCATATGGAGAGCAATGCGGCACGCGCCGCCGCCGCCGCCGCCGGCGAGGGAGTCGGAGACCATGACGACGACGGCGAGGAGGAGGAGGAGGAGGAGAAGTGGCGGGAGGCGCTCGCCGCCGCCTGGGGCCAGAGCAGGGCGAAGCGGGAGGCGATCCGGGCGTGCTACGCCGCCGTCAAGGACATGATACGCGGTAAGTGTGCGGTCGCCGTCGCGCGTCGCTTGCTGCGTCTCTCTCTCTGCTTCTACTTTGAGTTTCTCTTGATTTTTGTTTAATCTGACTGATGGCGATGGCGATTGGTACCGTGTGCGAACGTGCGCGCGGTAATTAATTAACGGCAGCGGAGAAGGACGGCGCCGACATGCGCCGGCTCGGCGTCGCCATGGGCGAGATTAAGCAGCTTCACCACAAAGGTTTTGGCTCCCTGCGTTCAGCTCATCCTCCTCTTTGCTTTTGCTCTGCGCTCGTGTTCATTAGTCATTAATCTAGTCCCCTCGTGTTCATGTGCCCGTTGTACATTTCGTGTGATTAATGATTAATCTGGATGAGGGAAAATAAAATAATTTGTTAGCAAATTAATTTACTCTTCTCATGTAGTCAAACTTAACAAACTTTGGCGTCAATATGCACACAATACTCTGAGAATGGCTATGCCAAATTTGCAAAGGATTTTTTTTTTTGTAGCATTGCGTTTCACTAGTTTTCATGACATATAATGAGAAAAATCATTGGGCTATATGTCGATGTAGCCTGTCGATCCTAAATGATTAAGTAATTTCAGTCCTGGCCTTTCTTAGAAGATGATAAGTTTCTTAGTTGGGCACATGTATTTGCGCATGCATGTGTGGACTGCTCGAATTTATGGAGAGGAAAACAATCACTTCTTTAATTAATTGTACACTTGATTAATTAATTGATTGTCATTTCATCATATTTGCACCTGAAAAAAGAATCTGATATGTCCAACATGCGTAATTGCGTATTACAATGTACTCTATCTACTTGCTTGTTAACCAATTACCAGTGCAAAGGCCAAAGGAACAAGTCGCAGATGGTGAAGCTCTGCTGGAGCTCGTCAATTCCCTGGCCATCACCGCCAAATCCAAGAAGAAAGATGGACCTACCCCTTCAGAGTTCGTCACATCACTGCTGACGAAGTTTGGTGTCAGAGCTTCTCTCTTGGATGCTTCCATCGAGTCTTTCTCTTGTTCTGATCTTGGCGCCATGGCGTCTCCATTGTTCATGACAGCAACTGGGTGCCAAACAATGTAGGGTTCTGTTTCCCCTGTGACATGAAAATGTTGCAAGAATTGATCGATCTTTTGGTTTGTGTGTTTATGTTCAGTTGCTCATGAAATTCTTGTAGGAATGGTGCTTTGAATCTTGCCATCGAGGAACGGAGGAAGCGTGTCGCTAGAAGACTATTTGACCGGTTTCCTAGCAAACCTGCAGGGGTGCGTTTCATCATTCCTGCTTCTGAAAACTTTAGCTATTCGCTTCTGATTTAACAAATATAAAAGCAAGGTTCTCGAGCCATTTGCTTAGGTGAAAAGATTATCCTTATATTTAGTATTTTAGTTTTTTTTGCTGACACCTTATTAATCAGCAATGGCTAAAGTGTTCTTGCAGTTTACTGAACTATTTATATTTGAACATGCTTTTGCATAAATGAATGAGTTCAATGTGTCAGATGCTAACTTTGCTCAATTGCGAGTAGGCATTGGCACACCTAGACGTATATATGTTTATCATTGATCCCTTTTCGATATGTTTTTTTTTTTACTTCTGCCATGTTTAATAAGTTTTCTTCCAAGATTTGAAATCGCACTTACTTTCCAGCTTTATGAGACCACACCAGATCTAGATGAAAGGAATGATACTGACAAGAACATGGCTGTCATGTTCAAACTCTTGAGGAAGAACAAATGTGTGAAGCTGGAAAATCTCATCCTAAACCGGCAATCTTTCGCACAGACTGTCGAGAACATATTTGCTCTCTCGTTTCTTGTCAAGGATGGAAGAGTGGAGATAGATGTTGATGATAAGGGAAACCATTTTGTCGGTGAGTGCTCCTTTGATGATCCACCGACACAAATTTCAGTTTGATTGTTCAAATTGTAAATCAAAGTAGTAATGCTCATGAATTAGTAGTGATTTGTGTCTTTCATGTTTGCTGTGCAGTGCCACGGAATGCTCCGGCAGCTGAACTGATAACCTCAAGGGAAGTGATCAACAGCCAATATGTATTCCGATTTGATACCAAGGATTGGAAGGTAAAATACTTACATATTTTTCCCTATTCTAGATGGATAAATCTTGAGCTTGATCTATTATTTCTCCCATCTGTATGTTTTCTCCTTTTCTTTTTTTTTATCATTTTGCAATTTTTGCTCATTTACAGATAATGGAAGGCGTTGTGGAGCCTGGAGATGAGCTAATGCCTCATAGACAAAACAACATTGGAGAACACTACAATAATGCAAAATCATATTCAGCTTCAGAACCACAGAGAAAACGAGATGAATTTGCTCAGGGAGAGGGAATGGATGAGACACTCATCAAGCCTTGCGCTGAAGATGTCATCCTGAAGAGGAAGAGGAGATCAGAAGCAGAGAGCTTGAAACATTGGTTTTCTTCATGCAAATGGCAATGATCATGTATAATTTTAGGGTTAGTTCACTGGTAGCAAAGCAGATTAAGCACGCTTTTGGCATCTCTGCAAGAAATTGTTTAAAAAATACTAAAACACAAGTAGGCATTAACAGCTTCTGTTTCTTCTATTATTAGGACTTAGAAGTTTAATTTGACAATGTTGGAACTTTCAAGATCCTTTCTGCAAATGTTCTTGACTACCCGAATCACTTGAGCTGACCGGGATTTGGATTAGAATTCACGATCCAATTCTAAATGCGCAAAATTCGGTAGCACTTACAATTCGTGATCCAAATTCGCATGGGCTTGATAGGCTCTAATTTATAATCAGAACCAAATTAAGATAGGCCTTACTGTCGATCCAAAGTAGGTGAGCCTGGCTGGAATCGCTAGGAGCAATTTCAATAGTATAGCCAAGTACTGGTTCCAATTCATTTATAACTAATCTAGCAAAATCGACTAATCTAATAGCTCATTTATACAATAGCTACATACTATACTATTAATACCTGGTCTCACATGTCATACACACACTGCGTCTTGGAGTCCGTGCTACAGCTGGCTACAAATCCGTAGCTCGCTGTCCGTGCTACAGCTGGCTACAAATCCGTAGCTCGCTCTACAGCTGGCTACAAATCCGTAGCTCGCTGTCCGTGCTACAGCTGGCTACAAATCCGTAGCTCGCTGCTCTTCTCTTTCCTCATTTATCTCCTTAAAACATGTTTGTCGCTGGCTTATAACTTGCTATTGTACCTGCTCTAATATTATTGGGCCTGGTTGCGCATCGAATTTCAGTGGGCCAGATTTGGTGGGCCGTATGGAGATTCAATGGGCTGAATTGGATCTCTACCGTTTATTTCCACCGGAACACTGGGTGGGCATGATTTTCTTCTGTTTTCTCGTTTTAATTTTTTTTTCTATTGTCAATTTCAAACTCCAGAACTGGGTACCATGGCGGCGGCGCGCGCCGCCGCCGCCGTCGATGCCTACCAACACAACACCCTCATCCGCGCCGCCGCCGACCACCGCAGCCTCCTGCTCGCCTTCCGCGCCATGCTGCGGGAGGGCGTCGCGGCGGACCACTTCACCTTTCCCTTCGCCCTCAAGGCGCTCGCCCAGGCGCACCACCGCTCGCCGCCGCCGTGCGCCGCCGCAACCGCAACGGCAACCACAACGTTGGGGTGCCTCCACGCGCAGATGGTCAAATCCGGCCACGGCGCCAACGTGTACGCGGCCTCCGCCCTCGTCCACGCCTACGTCTCCCGCGCCGACGCCGCCTCCGCGCGCGCGGTGTTCGACGCCGCTCGCCACCGGAACGTGGTCACCTGGACGGCGATGATCGCGGGGCACGCCGCGGCCGGGGAGGCACGGGAGGCGGTCGCGCTTTTCAGGGAGGCCGTGGCGCGCGGGCAGGAGGTCAATGGCATCACCGTGGCGCAGGTGATGGGGGCTTGCGCTCAGAGCCGCGACCTCGAGAGCGGGAGGTGGGTTCATGCGACGCTCCGACGCTGGGGCGTCGAGCCTATCTTGCTCGACGTCGCTCTTGCCACGGCGGTACTCCATATGTATGCAAGCTGTGGCGGTCTTGATGCTGCCTTCGAAGTGTTCGATAAAATGCCTCGAAGAAATGAGGTGTCATGGAATGCAATGGCTGAGGTATGCAGTAGACATGGAAGACAGGATAAGGTTCTGGAGGTGTTTCCGGGTATGCATTCTGTTGGAATGAAGCCTGATAAGGTGACATGGCTGAGCATACTCCGCGCCTGTACATCCAAGGGAGCTGCGGGCTTAGGCCAAGGCGTGCACGCCTACATGGAGAAGACGATTGGTCATAGACATGTCGCAGTTTGCACATCGCTCATGGATATGTACTCAAAGATAGGCAATGCACGGAGTGCACTCCAGATATTTCAGTGTCTCAAAAGAAAGGATTTGATGGCATGGACAAGCATGATCATCGGCTTAGCTAAGCATGGCCATGGCAAGGATGCTGTGCAACTCTTCAACCAAATGCAGCATGGTGGTGTTGTTCCGGATCATGTTGCATTTGTAGGTGTTCTTACTGCTTGCAGCCATGCTGGGATGGTAGACGAAGCAAGAAAATACTTTGACTCCATGTGGAATCATTATGGCATCAGGCCAACAATCAAACATTATGGTTGTATGATTGATCTCTTCAGTCGTGCTGGTCGATTGGCAGAGGCTGAGGGAATGATGCAAATGATGCCTATTCAACCCAGTGTCACCATGTGGGGAAGCATGATGAATGGTTGCAAGGTACATGGCAGGGCTGATATTGCTGAGAGGGTAGGAAGGCAGGTTGCTGAGCTTAATCCTCAGTTTGGCGCAATATATGTGATAATGTCCAATATATATGCGGAGATTGGTAGGTGGCATGCAGTGGAGCACACCAGGAGATTGATGTGGCAGACTGGATTGAAGAAAATTGTAGGCTCAAGTGGCACTGAAGTGCAAATGTTGTGCTCCTGAATATAGTTTCCTCTAGCATCTGTCTATGGAACTTTTTGAAGTGAAAGGAGGAGAATTTGTTAGACGAATGTTGTAGAAATTTGACAACCATGAATGACTTAAACACAGTTCTACCAAGTGTTCAATTGTTAACTCTGTATGTTGCGTGGAAAGAAAGAGGTAAATATACCAACTGACATAATTCAATTTTGGGCTTATCCATTTCCTGAATCTAGGCACTATATAATTATTTGGTGAATTGGTAGAATATATTTTGTGGATTATTCCGTTGTTCATTAGCTAATGCCTTTCAGTTGCAATAGGAATGGAGAACAGTATAAGAATACACAGTCATCTTAAGCTTCAGAGGCACGAACAAGGAACGTATGAATTTGTGAAAAGCAATAAGAGAAAAGGAAAAATGCTAGCATATGAGTTTGTCAAGACACGGACAGTGAAGTGGAGATTCATCAGCTGGTGCACTCCAGATGACGCCTGTTTCAGGTGGTTGTAGCAGCAGTTGTGCTGTTATTGTTGTGCAAATAATTTTGCAAACCTATGAGCAGTTTTGCTGTTTCAGTTATGCAAATAATTTATGTGTAGACACCAGCGATTGTTAGAATTCGTGAACTATAATCCATTTTCCATTTCAGGCACTGTGGAGCCTGCAAACGAGCTGTACAGTGGGAATGGAGAACAGTACAGGAATACACGATACAGGAGCACAAAGAGAGAACTCGTATGAGTAGTGAAGCGCATGAAGAGAATGCTATGAGTTTTTGGAAACACAGGCAGTGAAGTGGGCTATTTGATCGGCCATTTCAGCACCGGAGATGGCGATGACAAGCATGTTTTCAGGTGGCTGAAGCAGCAGGTTTGTTCGAAGGAACTTGTTATTCTTACTCGAAAAAAACAGGAACTTGTTAGTTACCCTAGGATTAACAGCAGCGTGATGGAAAGGTGCTGTAAACATAAGCATATTTTCAACACTAACTATTTTTGTTTGGAAATTTGCATATCTATCTGCCACTATATTATTAAGGTTTAGGGCCTGTTCAGATTGTAGCAAAAAAAAAAAAAACTAACCAAATTTTGGCAAGATGGCAATATTGCCAAAGTTAACAGGCCCTTAGTCCCCAGAGTAGAGTGTACTACATTTTTCCCCCACTCTCCATCATTTGATCCTATGCCATCAAGCCAACCGGATTGACCATATGACAATATGGGAGTTATAAGTTTGGGGTTATCGGCCTATGAGAAGGAACTGAACTAATGGCAATTTTGATGGCAGTTGCTGTCTAAATGGAGGCATTACCTTCAGCTGAAACCATTTCTTATAAAGACGGATCACTAAAGTTTAAAATACTTGCTTGAGCAACAATTAACTCAACCACTCCAATTCAAAACCCTAACCAAATTCATTGGACTCGATTTTTAGATTGAATACAAAAAGGGAGCTTCTAATAAGGTAGCAGATGCCTTATCTAGAAGGGTAAGAGCCAGAGAAGTAGAGTTGAATGCTGAGATTTTTTTGCATTATCATCCGAATCAAACAGGAGGAGTACGTCATGCTAATGTGCCTGTTAGTGTCTGATGCACTCCATCCTGAAGAAAAAATCTTCCTCCCGCAGGCAGAGATTAACCAAATGACAAAGTATATCCAGTTGTTCTTTTCTTCATTTTTGCAGGGAAACGTGAGCCGTTCATTTCCTGGTTCACATCTCTTCTCTTATTCTATGTAGGCAGGGAGACCATCAGAATTAAATCTTGTTGGTGAGCCACATCACTGTCGACTGATTCCTGCAATTGCTACAGACGACGGCCACAGCCCATTTTCTACAGTGGGGGCAGAAGATCACTGTGCCGATGGAATCAACCGTTTACCGTGCATAGTCACTGGCTTTCACAGATGGGAACAAGCAGCAGCCGACAAGTCGCCGGCCGGTGGACTAGCAACATAGCCGATCGATGGATGGACAGTACGTTTCCTAACTAGCAAAAGCTTTTTACCTCATGTCCTGCACCTGTGCTTCACCAGTTGGATCTCTTCCTCCGTTCGTCGGCCGGATTCACGACAGCAATTTGACAAGAAGGTGATATATCGATGATGCATTCAATTGATGCTCTGTTCTTCGATTTGCATTGCTTGCCGGCCTACCTACGGACCACTGTACCCTCGATTCGTCACAAAGAACGAATCACAGAGAGGTAATCGAGTAGTAGTTGCAAGGGACTGAGCTGTAGCTATACCGGTGCTCCGGTGAGATTTTGAGTCCATGATCGGTACCACAAAAACCTCTATACCCGATGGTATTTGTTTTGGAACCAACAGTGAGTATTTGGATGCTAAAGTCCATCACTGCACAACATATATTGTCAATTTAAGAACCAACAGTGATAGTGCTTAGGGCGAAAAGGGAAAAAACAGAATCAGCAGTTGGTTGCTGAGCCGCTGTTTTGTCTTCGTCGTGCAACTATACACATCTAGTTGTGCTTACCGTTGCCCTCCTCATACCAAGAGCCGTAGTCGTCATCACCATGCCTCCAAAATAGCCACTACCTACCGTTGTCCCCATCCTCTTCCACAGTCTCCTCACCGCCAGATCCAAGGGTATCGAGCACAACACCGTGCCTCCTTTCTCAACTCCCTCCTTATCGCCAGATCTCCTCCTCCTTATCTGTTCTTCTCAACAACCAGGTTTGGGGTGTTGAGCTCGCCGTCGGATGCATCCACTAAGTGGGAGTGACGATGGTGGCAGCATGAGGAGGACAACAAGGAGGAGAGGGACAAGGGAGTGCGTGTAGATGGAGAGGTGAAGAGCGAGAGAAATGGACTTAGTGCGTCGGGCTAGTCAAAATTCCTACTCCACACAACCATGTTGTTTCACTATCGGTTCACTAGAAAACCGGTAGTGAAAGTATCATTATCGGTTCACTAGAAAACCGACAATCAAAGTATCACTAACTGTTTATGATGTGAACCATTACCAATTTTATCATTGTTCGTTTTTCTCTCAAACTGATAGCGAAAATTTTGCTATCTTGTTGTGGTTCAAGGTGAACTAGCGGTGAGATTGACTGTGTTGGGGTCGAGTGACAGACCGAATCTGTTGGGGTCTATTTGGTTCGCTACCCTGAGTTTATTACGATTTTTGCTTGATCAAGCATCCTAAGCATGCATATATGTGTTTTGTTTGGTGCCTTGTGCTCGAGCATACATTCTTACTATGCTAGTACTCGTCTTGGTACGAGATGGGACGTGAAGGCCACCGATAAGAGATGGCATCGATGGCGGCCACTATCTTGTCACTTAGCCCAAAGTCTGTCGATGGCTATGGTTGCAACGAACAGGCAATCCCGGCCTGAGCCGACTTCAAGGTGCGCCATGAAGCGGAGGTATCAAACATGTTCAGAGCTTCCACCATCGTTGTCCTTGCGGGTGGTTGAAGCTCAATGTTCTGGATTGACAACTAGTTAGACAACCAATCAATTGAGTTGATCGTGCGGGTTGGGAGGAACACCACGGTGGCTACTGGGATCACATGCAATGTGTGGGTGACATCACCAGCATGCTCATTGTCCTAGTCCTATCCCAATTCTTGCAGGATTGGAGTCGAGTCCACAGAACCTCGCTTTGGGCCTTCGAAGATGAGTTTGTTTGGCGATGGATCGATGGACCATACTTGGCTTAATCCGCATACAGAACCTTCTTCCTTAGCCTCAATTCCTTCCCTTGCACCAAACACCTTTGCCGTGGCAGCGGGCCGACCAAATGTAAGATTTTTCTTTGATTGGATTTGCAACGATGTCGTTGGACAGCCGACCGAATGCTTGATCGAGGAATTGACCACCACTCCATGTGCCTCTTCTGTGTGCAAGAGAAAACGTCAACCAAATTCTCATTGACTGCGTTTTCGCAAGATAAGTCTGGTGCAAGCTGTTAGCCTCGGCTGGACCCAGTAACCTCTCGCCGAGCCACCGATCGATGCTTCAAGGTTAGTAGCAAACCTCGTGGTTTCGCCTAGGCAAGCAACACAAGAAGGGTTTCGACTCTCTTGTCCTCCTGGTTGTCTGCCACTTGTGGAAAGAAAGGAACGCCCGTGTCTTCGACGGTGTTCTGTCACAGGTTATCAATGATGGTGGAGCGGATTGTGCAAGAAGAGCAACAGTGGTTTGAGGCAATGGTAAATCATGTTAGGAGGTTGTTCGTTTTGCTTCTCCCACTTTTCTCTTAATTAGGAGTCACACTCGTTTTAGTATGCTCCTCAGTGTCTAACCGCCTAGACGTGTTACCAATATACTCCCTCCATCCCAAAATGTAAGCATTTTTGTCCAGATTCATAGTCAAAAGTTGCTATATTTTGAGACGGAGGTAGTATGTTATTCTCCTTCTAATATATTGACAAAAGTTTTATGCCTTCGTGAAAAAGAACTCATCTTGGTTCGGAAGTGCAAGAGCCAAGGCTTGACTTTGGTGGCAAAGCTGGATGAGGTAGCTAGCCGGCGAGACCCAGCGGCGCTAGAGCTTTAGTACAGCGGATCTAGTAGACGATGGATCAGAGCGCCGAGAGAAAGCGAGACGATGATGGCTGGCTCTGCAACAAAGCTATAGCATCACGTCGCGTCGCGGCATCCCGTCCCATCGATGGCCCTCTGATTCTGATGAGAAGAACACAACCACGACGTCGTCATGATGCACGCAGCGAACCGCCAAGCAAAGCAAAGCAAAGCAAAGGATTGCGATGAAACACGTTGCAGAAATTGAACTGCAGAGAGAGAACCCCATGCCCATCTCTCCATTACTGTAACCCGTCAACTCTCGCATCTCTGCTTGTTGCAACGCATGTGTGCATGAATCCCTGACCTAAAATCACATCCATCCATCTCCCTCCATCCATCCATACATATATATATATATTTATGATATATCCGTCGTCAATCCATCACTGATCGGATGATACTTTTTAAAAGCTTGTTTCCTTCTTTAGTTCATGTTTACTCTTCAGGCTTTTCAAGCTAGGAGTACTAGCTACGACATGCACATGTGTCTCTACTCTAGTGTAATTCATATATCCATTCATGCATGCAGCTAGATGCGTTATGTGTGCATATATGCTCTCTTCATCAGATCGCATGACAGTGAGAAAAATCCTCACTACTACTGCAATACTGCTAGTAGTACAAACCAGTAGTTTTAATTTGATCATGAGATGAATGATGCATGCTAGTAGCACGTAACAAAAACATCATAGCATTGGGAATTTAGAACTGAATATAATCCATTGTTCACTTATCATAACATCTAACAAAACAGACTAGCTGATTATATATGTAGCCATTACATTGCATGTGAATACATGCACGCATGGATTCACAGACAAAGTAATACTAGTAGTAATTAAGCAAGTAGTTACTAGTAGTAATACTCAACCCAGTGCACCAATGCTTGCAGCTCATGCATGCAAGCTAGGTACACACCTGAGTGCATGAAAATAACCAAATGATGACTAATTAATTAACAACCACTAGTAATTTCAAAGCAGCTAAACAAGTGCTTGTCTAAATACCACACTTGCAAACTAAAGGATATCCAGATCGTAGCCCTAAAGAAACCAACGGCCCAGATCATGCGCCCCTGGGCACTGCAGGTGGGCCCATCTCATAAATGAATCCACTGTGCTGCAGGTAAGCGTCCATCCAGGTAGGTGGCGGTGGCTCCTGTTGACCGGCGTTGACTCCGAGCTGCGCCGGTGGGCCCCCCTTGCCAGTGACAGTACTAGCACAGCTGAAGGAAGGAAAAGCAGCAGCAGCAGCAGCAGCCATGGCGCCATTGCAAGAAATGTGGTTATCGCTGCTGTTTGTGGTGTTTGGCTCATTGGGGAAGACGAAGCCGCCATTGTTGCTGCTGCTGTTCTTGCTGTTCGCATGGCTGTGCTGCAGCAATGGAGGATGGAAGCTTGTGGGGAGATCATGGTGGAAGGGGACGAGGCTAGGGTTTGGGAATGGGACCGGAGGAAGGTCATGGAAGATGCTGCTGGGGTGGTGGTGGCTCACTGGGAGGTAGTAGCTGGCTGGGCTCTTCATCATCATCAGCTTGCTGTACTGATCTCCTACCTTGTGAAAGATCCTGCAGATCACCCATTCCTCCTGCATGATAGTAGTATCAAAAACAACCAATGTCTACATGTCAGTTCAGTTTATGATGAAGTGTTCATAAGATCAAATTAATAGTATTCATTTCTACGGATTGTGATCTTGTTGGACAGAAATATAGCATAGAGTATATTAAGATATATATTTATATATTTAGCTCTGAACTTCTGCAGAGATTTCTTTCTTTGTTTCTTCTTCCTTTTCTTTTGGCCCTATAGATGTGCATAGCATGCATCAGCATGAGGCATGGATTACTAGCTGTATATTGATGCAATGCTGCAACGAATAGTTTATCTATTTGACACATTTTTTACGATCTGCACAAGAAAGATTGGAGACGAGGTATGTCAATGGTTGGAGATATGTAAAGTACAGCCACCCTGAAGGGAACAAAACACAGGAGGGAGGGAATCACACTAGCTTGGATCTTGTGTCAGTGCAAAGGAGATTTTGAGCAGAAATAAACTACTACTCCTACTAGTAGTCTAGTACTCCACACACACTGCTGAGACTGTACTACCACCACTGCAGGATGTACCAATGTATAGCAAGCAGCACACATTACAGTATTTTACACCATTGAATGCACAAAAGTGCATAGAGCATAGTAGTAGCATACCACAGCATCAATCTGTGCATGCATATGTCATCTTATGTGTTCTTGCACGCATGCATGCATGCTACATTGAATGCACCAAATCACCAATATCTACTCTGAACTCTGAAGAACTAGTTGCAGCAGCTATCTTCTTCAGAAGTTCAGAACAGTGACATGAAACTGATTTTTTTTTTCAGAAAGACAAAGATGCAATGGCAATGACAATGGCAATGCAGGTGGGTGTTACCTTGGTGGAGCGGCGAGCGGCGGCGAAGTCGCCGTCGAGGCGGTACTCGTGGAGGACCCACTTGGTCTTCTCGCCGCGCGGGGCGCGGCCCTTGTAGAAGACGAGCGTCTTCTTCATGCCGATGAGCGCGCCGCCGGCGGCGGCGGCGGCGACCACCTCCCTGTCCTTGCCGGTGGCCTTCCAGTAGCCGGCGCCGGTGGCGCGGTTGGTGCGCAGCCCCGTCGGGTACTTGCGGTCGCGGAGGCTGAAGAAGTACCACTCCTTCTCCCCCATCCTCGCCGCCTCCGGCAGCTCCCACGGCTCGCACCGGTTCAGGTCCACCTCCGCGATGTCCACGCCGCCGCAGCACGCGCCGTTGAACACCTTGGCGGCGAGGTAGAAGGTGACGAGCTCCTCGTCGGTGGGGTGGAACCTGAACCCCGGCGGCAGCCCGTGCTCGCCGGCCGCCGCCGCCGCCGCCGCCATCTCCTCCCCCAGCATCTCCCACAGCGCGTCCCCCATGGTGGCCGAGTGATGATGCATCTCTGAATCTGATGTCCCTCTCACACTGTCACACAATCACTGATCAAGAACCCTAGCTCACTCGATCTCTGCACTGCAAGATGCAAGCTAAGATCGATGAAGCGATTAAACCTAGCTGGTGAGAAGCTGAGCTAATGGAAGTGATGTGTTCTTGGCTATGGTGTGGTGTGGTGTTGAGGAAGAAGCCAATGGCGGTCTATATAGCGGAGCACTGAAACCGTAGAAAAGGCCTCTCGTGTTTAGGCCGGCCAAGCAACTACACGGTACACAGTGCAACAGTACACACACTCTTTCTTTCTTTTTCAACCTATCCGGCTATCCCTCTGTCTACTGTATCTTTCTCTCTTTGTACGTTTCTACTGAGGGCCCGTTTAGTTGACAAAAAAAAATTTCACCTACATATCACATCGGATATACGGACACATATTTAAAGTATTAAATATAATCTAATAACAAAATAAATTATAAATTCCGTTAGGAAATTGCGAGATGAATTTATTAAACATAATTAATCCGTCATTAGCAAATGTTTACTGTAGCACCACATTGTCAAATCATGGCGTAATTAGACTTTAAAGATTCGTTTCGCAACTTCCTGGTGAACTGTGTAATTGGTTTTTTTTCTACATTTAATACTCCATGTGTCCACGCATTCGATGTGACAACGCGAAAAATTTTGCTTGGAAACTAAACAGGCCCGGAAGATAAAGATAAAGTTATTAGGGTATGAAAAAAATATTGATAGTTTTAATTATTACAAACTCAAAAATAGATTTACCAGTATATGATATTTTTTGTACAAAATATATCATTTAATAGTTTAAAGAACATGCTAACGAAAATCAAGATAAAATTTGTATATCAGAAAAAAAAGAACCTGAAAATGGTGAGATTAAAGGATGGTGACAGGCAAGATGTCACCTTGAAACTTGAATGGCCCGAAAGAGGCCGGAAACCTGATGGAGCTTAAGGAGAACCTGAATTCAAGCTTGCAAAGATGTGCACAGTACAGTGCACTGCTACTATTCACAAGCTGATGCATGTAAAGCCCCAGCTAAAGCTTGCAGACTGCAAGGAAAAAAAAAAGCACTATACAGTATATATACACACAAGAACATGTACACATCAATTAATTAAGTTGGTTTTTCCCCCACTATCTAGTTAAGTATACATTGGAATGTAGATAGTGTTTTCAGAGAAATTATGCAGAAGAAGGATTTTGGAACAGATCGAGCTACCAGAAACCATTTTTTCCCTGCATGCATGCATGCTCGATTGCCGGCTGGTTCCTGCTTTTCTCAAATGCAGCACTTCGTGGCTTCGTGCGATTGTCAGCAATGTCCCGACACAGCTGCATAAACAATCAAACACTTGCACAGTGCGTGCGTGTAAGTACGACGTCCGTTTTTCTTTTATCACCACATGCAATTCTTTTAGTACTCTCGTGCATCTACCATTGTCAATCCCAGCGATCAATCAACCCTAGCAAAAAAACACACATAGGGTTAAGTTTTTACTGTGTTTTTTATATGAAGAATAGAAAGTTTATTTGTTCTTACTCCAAGCAGAAACGAACAGTAGTACTACTGTGGAAGAAATAAGAGAGATCTAGGCCTGTTTGGGGAGCTTTAGATTATGAGAAGCAGCTGTTTGATAGCCAGCTTCTGAGAATCTGAAAAAGCTCTAAAACCCAGCTTCTCTAGCTTCTGGCTTCTTAGTTCATTTTTCAGAATCTGTAACTACAGATTCTCAGAAGCTGTGGACTGTTTAGGCAGCTTTTAGCAGAAGTAGTTTTTGAGAAAAGCTGCAGCTGGAACAAGCTCCCCCAAACAGGACCCTAGTGAGGGAGTGTGTGTCTTTGTGCACTTGTTTGGTTGTGCATTTATTTTGACTACCAGAGGAAGGTAGCAGGGCCTGCAATGGCAGCATTGGGGTTTGGAATGGAGTTTGCACGAGTTGGGCAGTGAAATTCACTCGTCGTCGTACCTGGACCCCAGAGCCCCAGTACTTGTTTTTCCACTTTGATCAGCTACCTTAACTTGCCACAATTGCCCTTGCAGGGTTGTCATTTCTACTACCCATGCCTCGGTCCTAAAATACAATGGCTTTTGAAGATACTAAATTAAATCGATTGAGATGAGAAAATAATAAAGAGGTAAATTAAATAAGAAATGCTTGTTGATCAACTTGTTACTCTAGCCCAACAAGAACTACACCCACCATAGTTCCCTCGCCTCGCATGTCAGTTTCGTCGAGGTGGTAGGAGAGTAGGTGGATGCGGACAACCCATCTGTTACCATGGCCATGAACCAAAGGCTGGAGCCCAGAGCGGGGAGAAGCCAATACCAATGTCGAGTGTAGAGTGGAAATTGAGGAAGCAATGAAGTAACATGATATTTGCACCATTTTACAGTCCTTCAAGGGGAGAAATCTAGGTGTTGACAACACGCCATCGCCAGGTGACAGCGAATCGACACAATGTGAAGATCGACGACCATCACCTCTTTGAGGCCCCTTGATGGCGGGCAGCCTCCAATCCACTTGACGGTTATCGTTTTTAACCTTGTTGACAGCCAAATCCGCACCACTACCCTTCCTCCTCGCCGTCCTAGTTTGATGACCAACGCCTACCGCTTCAACTTGAGCACCTACACCATGCTGCCATCGTCATCTCCAAGCAAAGCCAATGGGCTAGGGATGTGCCACCGTCGCCACATCCAAGTAGCGCTATGTATATTGTTGTTTCTTCATACTAATTGTTGTTCCCGATGGTTAATTATGGATATGATGTGTTTGTTGTGATCATACACTTGAGTTTGGCTAATTGTCTTACTAATGGTTTGCTGGTGTTGTTTTCTTGTTATTAGCTTGTGGATACTATCGGGCGTGGGGACATATCAGGTGCCCAACACCCGTTACAAGGGGACGGGAAAACCAGCCACCATGTGCTGGGATGGGGATGGGGATGGTCGATTTCTTCTGGTGTGGCCTATGCGGATGGGTATATGTGAAGGCAAGAGATGAGAGAGGTGACGTAACTATATTAGCAATTGATCGAATGGATACTATACAAACAAATATGTCTAGATTTATATATATAATTTGATTTATTTTATAACAGAATGAGTACTTTAAAACAAGTTTCATTCGGTTCAAAAGTTGCAGTAGTATCAACAATATATGCATGTGTAACACAACGGTAAATAGGATGTGAGCATCAACTGCTATACTAGCTAGTGGCAGTCTACTGCAAAGGTGGCGTCCCCGAGGAGGGAGAGAAGGAGAAAAGGTTGGGTGAAAAGGAGGGAGAGAAGAAAAGGTGATCGATCAGGTCGATGTGATCACAATTCTTTGGCTCCATCGATCCAAGCTACTGCTACTCCAGCTATCCATCGATGGAAACGATAATCCCGATAAGATAACGGCGACAACGCACATCGATTAGGGCTAGGGTTTGTTGAGAAAAACAAATGGTATCCTCCTCCTAGCTAGGGTAAATAATTAATTTGCTTAGGCTGCACCAATGATTGCCATATGAATGCTTGATCACAAACTCATCAGCTATATCTACTGCTCCCCTACGAGGAAACTCGGCTTTTGTTGAGATAAAAAAAAAAGGGGGAAAACTCAGCTTCTGGTTTAATGACTGGCCATCTACTACTCCATGCTAATCAAAACAACCTCTTTGATTTGTGTTTAATTTGATACTCTTGATTGGAATATACTCGGTACATTTCAAAATAAATCAACCTAAAATATGACATGATATTCTATCCAGATTCGTTCCGCTTTCTTCGTTACTTGTATCCCAATTCTTCTCGTCCCGCTCTCTTCGTGTTAAGGCATCCACAATATGACGTGACACCCTAAATAAACCAACCTAAAATATCATGCTAAATATGACGTGATATTCTATCTAAGGTATATTATCACGTCATACTATGGAAGCCCTAACACAAAGAAAGCGAAATGAGAAGAATTGGGATACAAGTAACTAATGGGGTGTTTGGACGTGACTAAAACTAGTTTTATAGTCCATGTCACATCGGATGTTTGACACTAATTAGAACTATTAAACGTAAACTAATGACAAAACCCATTCTATAACCCTGGACTAATTCGCGAGAAGAATCTATTGAGCTTAATTAATACATGATTAGGCTATATGATGCTACAGTAAACATTATCTAATTATAGATTAATTATGTTTAAAAAATTTATCTCGCGAATTAGCTCTCATTTATGTAATTAGTTTTGTAAGTAGCCTATGTTCAATACTCCAAATTAGTGCCAAACATCCGATGTGGCACGGACTAAAGTTTAGTTCTGGATCCAAACACCACCTAAGTAGTCTTGACACCGTTTGACAGTTAACGGGCAACGTTTGTACTACTACAGTATAGAACACGAAGAAATCCGTGGGACAGATCACAGATGGGTGAGCAAAGGCAAACGCGCGTACGTAGGTGCAGTGAAAATCTGGCTGGCAGCACTGTTGCATGCCACTGTACATTCTCACACTCCTCCTATACACATTTCGATCCTGATCCACGGCCGCGCAGCGCAGCGCAGCGCGGCGAGACAACGATCGAGTTTGTTGCGCCCGCGCGGCCGCGCGCGACGAGGTGCGCAGCGCAGGGCTTCATTAATGGGGCGCAGGAGCCAAAGCTAGCCCAGGGTGAAGCCGAAGCCGAAGCTGCTGGTGCTAGCCGGCCATGGCAGACAGCTTCAGAAATCAGAATCTCAGAGAGAGAGAGAGAGAGAGAGAGAGAGGGAGGGAGGCACGGCCACGTGCGAGAGCGGCGGGACGGAGGTGACGAGTCGGGCCGGGGGGGGGGGGGGGGGTGGCGCTCGTGCGCATCCACACGCGATCGTCCAATCTACTCTACCGGATGAGCAGCAGCAGCAGCTTTCTTCTCACCTGCGCCCATGCCACGCATGCGTACCATACCTCTGTCCATTTCGCATCCAAATTTTCATGAAAATTGCTATGCATGCTACTACTTCCGTTCTAAAATATAGTAATTTTTAGTTATAAATCTAGATACACAGATGTCTAGATTCATAGCTAAAAGTTGTTATATTTTAAGACGGAGGGAGTATTACTTAACTATCTGTCGCAAAGTATAAAAGCCTAGCTAATACTGGATAGGATACATCCTAATATAAACACTAGTATGAATAAACTATCTGTCCAGATTCATAGTAATAGAATGTGTCCCATCCAGTACTA